ATAGCGCTCCTCTCCTGGAATTTTGTGCTCCTGTTATTCTACAGCAAAGGCTAGTTCGACGTCCCAGGCTTCGTTTTGGCTAGCCCGTCCCTTCAAGACCCGCCCAGGTGCTCCGAGTCATTGGAGATCATCGATGAGAGTTGTGCTGTGCGCCCCGGGGCCATCGCTCTCCGCTTCACTTACGCTGGACGAACCTAAACGACTATCTGGACATTTGGACTTTTATCTTTGGAAAGGATTCGTTTCCCACCTTTGAATAGGCATTACGCCTCGTTATAAGACATTGTAAGAAAATTTATATATTTAATAAACGGGTTAAAAATGGTAAACCTGTCTCAAAGAGTCATTCTGCGCCCACAAGACAGAACGAACCGCTCGGCTGTCGAACACCTCACCCCAAATCGGCTGACCTCACACAAACACCATTCACCTGCGATGTGTAGTTTTGGCGGAAAAGTGAAATATAGGGAAATACATGTCCATTTTTATATATATAGGTATAGATTTATATATAATACTGTAGAGACGATGGCAATCTCTCCGTAGCGTGACACTTGACGGCGAAAAATAGTTCGGCTGCCCGATGATGTTTCACGTAATTATAGGAGTTTTTTTTACTTTTTTTTACGGATACCGTCGCAATTTTTTTGCAGTTTTATAGGAATCGTAATTATAGGAACCGGTTTTATAGGGAGGTCTACTGTATTTTAAAATTTAATATGAACATTTCATGTTTTTTATAGAGAGATCATATTTCATTTCGGTTTATTGTCATAAATCGATGATTCCTTTCTGGAAACACATTATCTATTTATATCACAAAAACTAAGATTAAATACAATTAATGCTTACACAATAGAAAAAAATTCATAAAAAGAGCAAGAGTTGTAAAAACAGTGTTGAAAATTCCTTCCGATATATGTAGAAAAACACTAATTTATACCAGTACTCAAAGGTACGAAATATTCCTTATGATCGACAAGTTTAACAATATAAAATCGCATGAAAGCAAGAAATGTAAAGTAAGAACAGTTGATAGCTTTGCAACTCGTTATTAGCATTGCACAAGAAAAAGACGTAGAGTTCATGTTTCCCAAATACTCTTAATTAATTAATTAATTTAATTATTTAAAACTAAATACTGAAAAAATATTAATGCAGAAAAATTTTCACAAGCAGAAATCTGAATATAAGTCAAAATACACGTGAAACAGAGGTGTAAAACATACAAATTATAACTAAGAAAAATATTAATAACGCACCTGTCTCCACAATAATTGAAAACATATTATTGATTTACACTGTAAAAATCGTCGTTCACACAAAAATATAGGTGTATTGCTTTTAAATCGGTTTTAATTAAAAACAATATTTTTAGAAAAGTACAAGAATATTCCGGAGTTGTATGATTATATTCCTGTGGAAATAGCTAGTGCTGGTTTAGCAATGATGGAGATTTTTTTCTTTATAAGGTAAGTATCTTTATATTGATATAATTTCTTCGACTGAAATTAATACTTTGATAATAGTTTCCTTTTTTTTTTTATAAAACTATGTAAATTATTCAATTTTATATATGACGAACATAATTATATAAAAATTTATATTAAGTGTAATACAGTTGTCCCTCTATAGTCCGACGTTTTTTAATCCGACATGCTCAGTAGTCCGACGCACCTCCCGTCAAGGTACCCGTCCCCGTTACGTGTCTGCTTGCACAGAATCTCCCCATCCAATTTTTACACGATGACACACATTTCGTGTGTTTTATGTGAGCAGTTCTGTTCGAACAATTGGAGTAGAGAATATTGTAAGTTACTGCTAGCAAAACAATGCGAAATATGTAATTATTTTCGGTAATCCGGACACTTTTGGTAATCTGACACACCTTTGGTCCCATACCTGTCGGATTATCAAGGGACAACTGTAAT